GCGATGGTGTGACCGTAACTGTGCGATGCTGACCAAACCTAGACTAAGCTAACTTCACTTAACCTAACCAAACCTAACCTAACCTAACCTAACCTAACCAAACCTAACCTAACTTAATTAACCTAATCAAATCCAACCTAACTGAACCTAGCCTAACCAAACCTAACCTAACCTGACCTGACCTAACCTGACCTGACCTAAGCTAATCCCGAAAACCTATCAGCATTAGACAGTTTATGTTACACCATAGCACGGGAAGACAATTCTGCGTCAAAACAGGTCTAACGAAACACCTGTGCATAATTCTAAAACGGCGGTTTTTGTGTGTAGTAAAACGTTCCAAGCTCATATCTCCTGAACTAATGAAAATAGAAGGCTGCTTTTACTTGCGAGCGATGTAAAATGATGCAACCAGATGTTGACTACGTTCTTGATCACCGCGTGATGAGGAAACAAATTAGGGCGTGAAAATTTCCATCGAAAAAATGGAAATTTTCAAGATGAGATTTTTTTACAAAATGGAAGGGCATGGTCCATTAAGTGTGTGAATCAAGGGGCAAGTGTTTCTGTGCATATTTATAGTTTCTACAACAATTGCAAAATATACATCCAGCGCGGCCTGTGTTTTTGTCAAGCAACTTTAAAACTACACACGTGTTAATTTTTAAAGATACACCATCGTGTTTGCCGTGCGATTAGGCGTCTGATGACCTATAATGCCATAAGACTGCACCGCTTGAAACATGCAGCATTCTTGATGCGTCCAAATTTCCATGGTTTTGTTTCTGAGATCCGCTCCGTTTGAGAGCAGATCGCACGTGCAAAAGATAAACAATGATGGAACAAACATTCAAAGCCGTTGTTGTCAGCATAAGAGAGAACACAAACCTTGCCGCGCCACTTTGTTGCAAAACAATTCAAAATTCAGAAACGGATGACTTTTCGTCTCAAATGAGGGCCAGTAGCAAATTCTGCGCGAGTACGAAGCAGATGCATGTTCTAGGTCGGTTGGCGCGTTTTGCACGAGATGGCCAACCTAACCTAACGTAACCTAACCTAACCTAAGATAACCTAACCTAACTTAACCTAACTTAACCCAATCCAACCCAGCCTAACCTAACCTAACATAACTGAGCCTAACCTAACCAAACAAAAGGAAACCTAACCTAACCTTACCTTACCTAACCTAACCTATCCCAACCTAACTGATCAAACCTAGCCTAACCTAACCTAACCTAACCTAATTAACCTCATCCAACCCAACCTAACCTAACCTAACCCAACCTAACCTAACCTAACCTAACCAAACCTAACCTAACCTAACCTAAAGTAACCTAACGCAAATGAAATCCTAAAACCTATCGGCATTGGACAGTTTATGTCACACCATAGCAAGGGAAGGCGGTTGTGCATCAAAACAGGTGTAACGCAACACCTGTGGAGAATTTCAAAACGGCCGTTTTTTGGGTGCTAGAACGTTCCAAGCTCATATCTCTCGAACCCATGGAAATTGAAGGCTGTCTTCGCTTGCAAACGATGTGAAACGCTACTACCAGTTAATGACTACATTCTTGTTTACCGCGTGAAAGCAAACAATATTGGCGTGACCAATTTTTCAAGAATAATAAATTCCAAACGCGATTTATTATCAAAGAATGAAAGGGCATGGTCCACTTAGTGTGTGAATAAAGCGGCAAGTGTTTTTGTGCGTCTAAACAGCTTCTACAGCAATTGCAAAATCTGCATCAAGCTCGGCTAGTTTTATTCAGATGGCTAAAAATTTATCCATCTGTTACTTTTTTAAGTTACACCATCGTGTTCGCCGTGCAATAAGGCGTCTAAGGACCCACAATACAGTAAGATTGCACCACTTAAAACACGCAGCATTCTTGATGCGCGCAAATTTCCATCGTTTTGCTTCTGAGACCCGCTCCGTTTGAAAGGAAATTGCACGTGCAGACGAAAGACAACGATGGAACAAATAATCAGTGCGTTTATTGTCAACATGCAAGTAAACACAACTCTCGACGCGACCTTTTTGACAGAAGCCATAACTTAAATATCGTTGCATACATATATCGTCGCGAAACAAGTTAAAATTCAGAAACGGATGTTTTTTCTTCCCAAATGAGGGCCAATAGCAAATACTGCGCAAGTACGAAGCGGATGCATGTTCTGCGCTGGTCGAAGCGTTTTGCACGAGACGGCCAAACTAACCGAACGTAATCTAGCCTAACCTAACCTAATCTAACCTAACCTAACCAAACCTAACCTAACCTAAGCTAACCTAACCTAACTAACCTAATCCAACACAACCTAGCAGAACCTAAAGTAACGTTACCTAACCTAACCTAACCTAACCCAACATAATTCTGGAAACCTATCGGCATTGGACAGTTAATGTCACATCATAGCACGAGAAGGCAATTATGCGTCAAAACCGGTGTGCAGAATTCTATTACAACGAAACTCGAAACACCGATTATTAGATATAATTGCAACGAAACACCCGTGCAGAATTCTAAAATGACCGTTTTTGTGTAGTAAAACGCTCCAAGCCCATATCTCATGAACCAATGAAAATAGAAGGCTGCTTTGACTTGCAAGCGACGTAAAACGAGATACCGAGTTGTTGACTACATTCTTGATCACCGGGCGATGAGGAAAAATTTGGGCGTGACAATTTCCATCGAAAAAATGTAAATTTTCAAACTGAGATTTTTTGTTTCAAAATGGAAGGGCATGGTCCATTTAGTGTGTGAATCAAGGAACAAGTGTTTCTGTGCTTCATGTCAACAGCTTCTACAGCAAGGGAAAATCTACATCCAGCGTGGCTTGTGAGTTTTGTTTTCAAAGGACTTTAAAACTATCCCTATGTTAATTTGTTAAGTTACACCATTGTGTTAGCCGTGCGATTACGCGTCAAATGACCTATAATACAATAAGATTGCACCTTTTGAAACATGCAACATTCTTGATGTGTGGAAATTTCCGTGGGTTTGTTTCTGAGACCCGCTCCGTTTGAAAGCCGGTTGCCCGTGCAAGCGATACACAATGATGGAACAAACATTGAGGGCCGTTGTTGTCAACATGAGAGTGAACACAAATCTTGCCGCGGCCACTTTGTTGCGAAAAAGCCAACATTCAGAAACGGATGTTTTTTTTCTCAAATGAGGGCCAATAGCAAATTCTGCGCGAGTACGAAGCATATGCGTGTTCTGCGCCAATTGACGCGTTTTGAACGAGATGGCCATCATAAGCTAACGTTACAAACATAACCTAAATTAACCTAACCTAACCTAATCTAGCCTATACTAACTTAACCTACCCAATCCTAGCCAACCCTAACGTAACGGAACATAACCTAACATTACATAACCTAGCCTAACGTAGTTCTGTTAACCTATCGGTATTTGACAGTTTATGTCACTTCATGGCACCGCAAGGCAATTCTGCGTCAAAACAGGTGTAACGCAACACCTGTGGAGAATTCGAAAACGGCCGTTTTTTGGGTAGTAAAATTTTCCAAGCTGATATCTCTCAAACCAATGAAAATAGAAGGCTGGTTTTACTTGCAAGCGATGTAAAACGATGTTACAAGCTGTTAAGTACCCTCTTGATCACGAGGTGATAACGAACAAATTTGGGCATGACCACTTCGTTCGAAAAAAAACACAAAAATTTTCCGAATAGGATTTTTTGTTACAGAATGAAAGGGCATGGTCGTTTTGGTTTGTAAATGAAGCGGCAAGTGTTTCTGTACATGTTAGCAGTTTCTACAGCAATTACACAAGCTACATCATCCTCGGCTTGTGAGTGCTTTTTCAGATAACTTAAAAATTATACATGTGTAATTTTTTAAACTTCCCCATGGTGTCTGCCGTGCGGTTACGAGTCTAATGACCTATAATACATTAAGATTGCACCATTTCAAACATGCAGCATTCTTGATACGGGCAAATTTCCATGGCTTTGCTTCTCAGACCCGCTCCATTTGAAAGCAGATTGCACGTGCAGACGATACACAATGATGGTAGAAACTTTCAGTGCCGTCGTTGTCAACATGCAAGTGAACACAAATTTTGCCGCGGCCACTTAATTGCGAGAAAAGTCAAAATTCAGAAACGGATGTCCTTTTTGTCTCAAATGAGGACCAATGGCAAATTCAGCGCGAATACGAAGCGGACGCATGTTCTGTGCCGGTTGACGCATTTTGCACGAGATGGCCGTTTTCCACATATTTTCACGTAGGTGGTGCCTGACTGAAAACCTATCGGTATTGGACAGTTTATGTCACACCACAGAACGGGAAGGGAATTCTACGTCAAGGCAGGTGTACCGCAACACCTGTGCAGAATTTGAAAACGGTCGTTTTTGGGTACTAAAACGTCCCAAACTTACATCCCTGGAACCAAAGAAAATAGAAGGCTGCTTTTACTTGCAAACGATGTAAAACGATGGTACCAGTTGTTGACTTCTTTTTGGTCACCGGGTGATGACGAAAAAAATTTGGTCGTGACAATTTTTTCGAAAGAAATTGAACTTTTCTAACGGGATGTTTTTGGTTGCAGAATAAAAGGGCATTGTCCATTTAGTGTGAGAATGAAGCGGCAAGTGTTTTTGTGCGTATGAACAGTTTCTACAGCAATTGCAAAATTTATATTAATGGCGGGTTGTTAGTGC